TGATTCACAGTACAAGATAAACATGCAGGGAAGGTAGCTTTCCCAGGATCGCGTGATTCACAGCAAAAGATAAACATGCAGGGAAGGTAGCTTTCCCAGGATCGTGTGATTCACAGTACAAGATAAACATGCAGGGAAGGTAGCTTTCCCAGGATCACGTGATTCACAGTAAAAGATAAACTTGTCACTATGTAAAACAACACGGACTTGCAGAACCACCCTATAGAAACTCGGAGATTGGAATAAACTTTGTCACTCGCCATCAGCCAGTGTCCTCTCCTCAGTCCTTTCCTTTTGTACATATTTTTCTTCATCCACGCCCCTCCCTCGGGTACCTGCGAGACGGTTGGAGCAGGACTCCGACATGTGTGCACGCATTTCTGTGTTGGCGTGTGCATCTGCTCTCTTATTGTTGTTGTTATTAAGTGCCGTCAAGTTGGTTCCGACCAATGGAGACCTTGTTTAGGGTTTCTGTGAAGTGGCTGGTGAGCTTGAACCATTGACCTTGCAGCTCAAACTGACTTTGCAGTCCAGCTCATGAACCCTCAGAGCCGCACCAGGAGTCCAAGCCTGAATTCAAAAGGCCGTCTCTAGAGAAGGTGTTCTCTCTCTGGGGGAAGGACCTTGTCGTCTTTCAATATTTGTGGGACCAGCGATCCTTGGAGACCTCCACATGCCTTGTCATGGGTCCACTCCTGGGTCTAGGAGATTCTCAGCACAGGGACACAGGTTCAGAGCACGCTCTCTGCTCCCTGTGCTTTGTGGTGGTCCTGAAGTCCCTCTCTGCTAGCTTCTTTCTCCTTGCATCTCTTGTGAGATGACAGGGGATGCAGACCCCGCCCCAGGGAGACTCCCCTGACCTGGGAGCAGGGCTGTGCCCTGATGGGGATGTTGCCTCCCACTCTCATGCCCTCACCCCTGATTGGCTGACAGCATCAGGTGACTTCATGGGGATGATGACATTTACTGACAGTCATGACCCAGTCAATATAAACAGAGTGTGTGTGTGTGTGTGTGTGTGTGTGTGCATGCATGCATGGTCGTGTGCCCTGTGAGGCCCACCCCTCAAATGAACCCTGCCCCATTGCACCCCTGGAATCTGTGCCCCACACCATGGTCTCTCCTGCAGTCCCAAGTCAGGCACACCTGGGTCTCCTGACGTCACACATGGAGATTCTTTCCTGCACTGACTCTTGCCCCTTCCCCACCACCTGGGCAGAGCAGGGTCAGATTGAGCCATGTGGGCGAGGCTGGTGGATTCCCCGGGACCCATATAGGGCTACCTGGCTGCCTCCTGGGAGGCTCACTCCCTGCTTCCCCTCCCCCCCTCTCCCCCCCATGTTTCTGCTCTTCACCCACAGCTCTATGTGTCATCTGACCTGGGGAAGAAGTGGACGCTGCTCCATGAGCAAGTGACCAAGGACCACGTGTTCTGGTAAGTCCCCCGGGGACCTGGAGGGACAAGCCGGCCTGTGGCTACTCGTCTTCCCCTCCCCTGGCTCCCACATTGCCCAGGCTGGCAGGGTCTGTGTCTGTCTCTGGGGACACCTGCCCTGTGTCCACTTCTCAGTGTCCACTCCTTCCTGAGAGGGCCTTCCATTCATTGACCATCTGTGCCAGTGATGCCAGAGACGTTGGCCTGCACTGCCAGCGGGTGTGGTGGGAGCCAGCCGAGGCCTGCAGAGAGCATGCTCACAGGAGACCCCTCCAGGCAGACCTCGGAGGCAAGAATGCAGACCTGTCATTATATCAGGGTCCCCAGCGCTGCCTCCCCTAGTGTCCACATGCTCATACTCGTGAGGGATAACCCGGCGGTGGGGGACACCAGGCTGGGCTGCTCCTGCTCACAGTGATGAGGCTGTTTTGACAGCATTTCCACGGTGTGCTTTGTCCTTGAACTGACAGTGGGGATTAGCCGGCCACACTCATTAATGCTCCCAGAAGCCAAACAGCACGTGGGCTCATTAGCCTGGGCTGTGGGGGAGGGCCAAGGAGGGCTGGGCAATGCTGTGTGGACTGCCTATGCCGACAGCCGTCCATGTGACAGAGGAGGACCCAGGGCTGAGAGGGAAGGTCCTTGTCCAAGGTCAGGCCTGTGCTGCTGAGCGCCCTGCTGGTCACTAGGCCTGTCCCTGCACCTCTGAGTTCTTCCCAGGGAGCCCTAGCCTCCCTCTGCCTTTAGTTCCAGGGCCTGGACCCTCTGGGAGCGGGGGGCACAAGAGCTCAGGATAGAAGATGGATGAGTGAGTGAGCGACAGAGTGAGTAATAGCAGTAAAGCCAGTGAATGAAACAGACAATCAGTGAATGAGGGAGTCAACAGATGCATGAACGAGTGAGGGAGTGACGGAGTGAAGAAGGAGTGGATGAGCACGTGAATGAGGGAGGGGTGAGTGGGTGAGTTAGAGAGAGAATGAATGGAGGAGTGCAGGAGTGCATGAATGAGTGAGAAAGTGATTGAATTGTTGTTGTTAAGTGCCGTGATTGAATTAGGGAGTGAATAAATGAATGGATGAACAAGTAAATGGATGAGTTGTTGTTAGGGGCCATCGACTTGTTACCAACTCATAGTGACCCAATGCACAACAGAATGAAACATTGTCTAACCCTGGGCCAACCTCACAATCATTACCACACCTGATCCCATGAATGAATGGATGAGTGAGTGAATGAATGGATGGATGAGTGGGTGAGTGAATGAATGGATGAGTGGTTGAATGAATGAATGGATGAGTGGATGAATGGATGAGTGAGTGAATAAATGAATGGATCAGTGAGGGAGTGAATGGATGGATGAGTGGGTGAATAAATGAATGGATGAGTGGTTGAATGAATGAATGGATGAATGAATGAATAAATGAATGGATAAGTAAGTGAATGAATGGATGGATGAGTGGTTGAATGGATGAGTGGTTGAATGGATGAGTGGTTGAATGAATGAATGGATGAATAGAAGAGTGAGTGAATAAATGAATGGATAAGTAAGTGAATGAATAGATGGATGAGTGGTTGAATGAATGAATGGATGAGTGAGTGAATAAATGAATGGATCAGTGAGGGAGTGAATGGATGGAT